CAGACAAGCAAATGTGAAGCCTTCCTGGTTAGCAAAGGGTCAGAGCAGGCAGGAGGAGAGGGAGGACGTTTCTCACAGCCTTGCTGCAGGTTCCTCCTTTCCCACAGGTGTCAGCCCCCGGAGGAACCCTCCCCCCTGTCAGCACCCTGACTGCCCTGCACAGCCTGGAGCAGAGCCCACACACCCTGAGCCAGCAGACCCAGAACCTGATCATGGCATCCCTGCCGGGCGTCATGGCCATCGGGGCAGGCGAGACCCCGTCCCTGGCACCCGCCTTCACCAACACCGGAGCCTCCACCCTGGTCATCGGTGAGTCGTCCCTGCCAGCACTCACACAAACGCTGCCTCTCACTCCCACAACCACCTGCTCCCTTCCAGGGGCCAAGGCACTAAGCTGGCAGTGACACACGAGAGGGAATTGTCACTCAGGACCTTCAGCAGCACTTGGTAATTCCAAGTTCCAAGGGGATTAAGGGACAGACGTTCCTCACGTTAGAATTAGGTTACACACAAACCCACGTCTCAAGAATAAGGGACTTTTGCAATCTATTCCTATGCCAATGTTTTGGGTTGCTGCTCTTCATCTTCCCAAATATAAATGTAATACTTCCTTAAAACTATGAAAATCAAAGTATGTTCATGGCGCTTGAAAGACAAAACATACTGTTCCACTTCCTGCGAGGAGCAGCATATGCCTTTGGATTCCACAGTAATTAGTATTTTTTTTATATATTTTTCACTTTAACAGCTTTTCTGGACTTGTATGAGATTTCTTTTCATTCCAAGACTAGTCTACTGCCAAAGTGCATCTCATTAAATACAGGAAAACAAAATGTATACTCTCCTCTTACACTGTCTTCTCAGGAAGAAAGAGGCCTTATTTTGTTCCATGGTGACAGCTCTGAATTAATTTCCATTTCCATTTATAGCACACATTATGATATGGATTCAAATTCTGTGCAAACAAAAAACATAAAATTGGAGTGCTGGAGAGACTTGTTGATTTACAGGAACAGGGTCTGGGCAGTTGTGAGAAAAGGGCAGCAATGTGTGAAACCTTCTACCTCTTTATCACTGACACAAATTCCATGATTTGGCAGCCCTAGCAAAAAGAGGTTAAACACCACTCCATGTGGCTGGACAGCCACAGCCTAGTTCTGTTGCCAAGAGCTTCATTAAAAAAAAAGAGTAAAATTAACTGGGCACTGAAATGATGCTCTGAGCAAGGCCTCCCCAGTGGACCTCTGTGTCAGGTCATCACTAAAGTGGAAAATGGGCTACACTGGTACACAGGGATGTGGATGGGAACAAGCACTGGGAACCAGAGGTGGGGATCTGCACATTTTGCACATTGCCACTTCCCTCTCACAGGCATGAAATCTGTTCTTCATCACAGATAACTAATGAAACTCCTGAAAAGCAGGATCTGTAATCACCCTCCAACGACAGGGCTGCCACAGTGACTGTGTGACAGCCACACTCCTCCCACAGTGTGTGACGCCACTGTCATCAGTCCTTGTTTTCCAGGCCTGGCCTCAACCCAGCCCCAGAGTGTACCTGTGATAAACAGCATGGGGAGCAGCCTCACTACCCTGCAGCCTGTCCAGTTCTCCCAGCAACTGCACCCGTCCTACCAGCAGCCCCTCATGCAGCAAGTCCAGAGCCACATCAACCAGAGCCCCTTCATGGCTACCATGGCCCAGATCCAGAACCCTCACGGTAAGAGCACGAACTCGTTTGCTCAAGCAAACCAAAACAAAGCCTCTGTCCTGGAGCATTGCTGGGAACTGGGCTTGCAGCACTCTGGTTTCCTCCTCTGCTACTGTTTCTCTAATTATTTTTCTACTGCATTCATCTCCCTGTCCCTCCACTCCCAGTGTTTGAGACAGACACGAGGAGAACCACTCAGCCAAACCAGCCTCTTGCAAAGCTGCAGCATCCACATGACCTTGTTTTCTTTCATGCACAGCTCTCTACGGCCCCAAGTCTGAAGTGGCCCAGTACACACACACAGGCCTCTTACCACAAACCATGGTGATAACAGACACGGCCAACCTCAGTGCCCTGACCAACCTGACACCAACTAAACAGGTAACAGCACATGCCTCTGTTCCCCCACCTTAGAACTGCACCAGTCTGCAGGCAGCTCCTTGCCTGTCAAAGAGGTTTGGGGTGTGTGGTGTCTGTGTCATCCCAGCAGGACCACCTTTCTTATCTCCTCTCTGGTGCCAGCTGCAGTACTGGAGGCACTAGAGAAAGCTCCTCACTGCATCGTCAAGGGGGATTTAATTGTCCTTAGAAACAGCGCCTGCTCTTCTCTCACACCTGTTAGAAGGGATGTAGAAGCCAGGAACTGTCAACTCTCTCTTCTCTAGGCATTCACCCCTGACTCAGAGACCCACACCGAGTCTGGGATGCACACACCAGTGTCCCAGGCACCAACAATCCACCTACAGAACCAGGACACCACCATCCAGCACCTTCAGCCAGGCCCACGCCTCTCCTCGAGCCCTGCGGGTAAGAGCAGCACTTTTGTCTCAAACCACATATTGCCCGGTTTCTCTTCCCAACACTGCAAAACCCAGTTAGGAAACGGTAACTGGGGCTCACAATTCCCTAAGAGAGCTATACCAGTGTCCTGAATGGGTCAAACAGCTGGTACAAGGTAAAAATTCAGAGTAAATTCTGTGTAAGGCCAGACTGGGGGACTGGGCTCCTTCAGAAACTAGAGAGGAAAATAACCTTAAAAATATGATGTGTCAATGAGTATCCAGTCCTGTGGGCAGTTTTCAGGGCTGAAAAGTCCAAGGCTCCCTCATAAAGAGATTCCAGCTGGATCTTCCCAGTTCTAAGAGAACTATGAGCTCAGCTAGAATCCTCAAAACTGAACTCTGAGGGTTGCTGCCCTCTGTGTTTTCAGGACATAAGCTGGGTATGAAACAGCACATAAAACAGACAGATAAAGGGAGTTAACCCCCTGTGCCAGGGGAGTGCAGCCACGCTGGAAAGGTGAGGGTGCTCACAGGGTAAGGGGCCTGCAGTGGGGATTGTACTGACCTCGTGCCTGTGCCTTTGGCAGTGTCCTCCAGCAGCCTGGTGCTGTACCAGAGCTCCGACCCCGCCAACAGCCACAGCCAGCTGCTGCCATCCACCCACAACGTCATCGAGACCTTCATCTCCACACAGATGGCCTCCTCCTCCCAGTGATCACCACAGCTGCCCTCAGGGTGACTCAGGTGCATCTCCAGCCGTGTTTGCCATCACTGCCACCTCTGTCACCAGGGGCAGGAAGGGCTGCTGCGCTGAGCCAGCCCCCACTGCCTCACACAAACCCCTGCTCAGCTGCCTCCAGGAGAGGGAATGTCTCAGGCTCCAGGCAGAAGTCACGGGAAGATGATGCTGGCACTGCCAAAATCCACTGCCTCCCCCCAAGAAACAGCAAACCTAAACCACACAGGCACCACAGAATGACCAGACATCCTTTTGTGGCTGCCCAAGAGGGAATCCCACCACGCCAGGGATGTGACTGAAACACGGCAGCAGTGCCAGGGCCTGGATGGGGCTTTCATTCAGCTCAGCTTTCACCAAGCTGGGCTCGTACAAACCAGACTAAGCCATGAAGGGAAGAGCAAAGCTGAGCTGCCAAAGAAGGGACACCATCTTTAAAACAGTCTCCTCCTTTGCTGAAAGAGCACCAATAATGACAATAACAGCACCTTGGAGGCAAGAGAGAGAACTCGGTTCCTGACTTTGCAATGAAAATCACCAAGAAACACATCTGGGAATGGCTTGGCACAAACCTGTCAGTGTGGGATCACTGACTACAAGCTACAAATCCTTAATTAACAACCAAAGTACCAAACATTCTCAGCTACAAATGACCTGCTCTAAAATCATGCTATCCCAGTGGAAATGGCTTGGTTATTTTTGATATAGCTCTGCTTTGTTTTAAATGCAGAAATTAAAGTTTAACAGCAGCGAGGAGATTCCAGTTCTCTGCATTAACCCTGTGGATCCTCATCTCGTGTGATTTGCTGAATGAGCTGGAGGATGGCATTCCCCACTGGTCCCTGACACTGCACAACACCTGAGAGGTTCCCAAGCTCCACAGAGAGCAGAGGTTCTTTCAGCTTTCTATATGAACATGTCAGCTTGGATTCATTTTACAGAACACGGCTCATTCTTGGCTTCCCTGTAGGCTCGATTCTATAGCTCTTGATATGCAAATAATCACCCCAGGGTCTAAGAGTCTTGCCTGCACTAAGTGTAGGGTTTTAGTCCCAGGGATCTACTTATATAATTCCTTTCCTAATTATTCCTCTCTGTTTACTCTCAGCACTCACATCACTGATGTGTCACTAGTTAACAGGTTTTTGGGACTGAAACCAAGCTGCTCTTCCCACTGTGAAATGGATGAAAAGCCTTGAGAGTAGAATGTGCTCAAGACTCTTAAAAGGTTAAGTTAGAAGGGAAAATTAAAAAAGGAAAAGCCCAACAATGAACTTTTCAGTTCTCCTATCTGGAAATTACAAAATTGCAGACGTCCATTACAGGTTTCATTGAGAGGAGCTTCCTCTAGACACCATCAACAATTTCAGTCACTAGATTCTCTGAGGAATTTTATCCTAGAATTGTTTCCTAATTTCCCATCAGCTGCAAATATATACATAACTCCCAACCAGCACAAAAGTAATCTTAAATCAAAAGGTAACATTCAGGCATTTGAAAGCCCAGGTCCAAGCTGCAGAGCACTGCAGCTTTAACTGCCCATAAGAGAAGTAACTTCTGCTGGCACATTCAGTTAGATTACAAGCCAATTTTCTACTCTGCTTCTCCATTTTTGGATGCCAACTGTGTTTTCTTGACTGAAAACCAGCAAGGATCTTACAGCAGGTTTCCCCCACTCAAAGAGCAACAATTCACTATTTTGGTTTCTCTAATCTGGCTCTCTGGTCTCCTGATTGGGGCAAATAAGTTGGATCTACTGAAACCCAACAATCTTAACAGAGAAGAAGAATATTTATTAGTAACAGGTAATTTCCTGAAAGGCTGGAACTGAAGCATAAAGAGACTAAGAGTTATACCAAAAACCACCAAACCTCAATATTTTGGAGACAAAAATCATCAACCCAACCAAGGACTGAAACAGTCCTAATTTTTAAATTAGGCTTAAGTCCTTCCTGTAGCAATTTCACAGCAGCTCAAGAGCCACCCTCAGACATCTCTGTCTCTGCTGGGGAGAATCCAAACACACCAAGAAAGCCATTGCTGCACAAAACCTACCAAATTAAATGAGCCCAATAGCGTAACAGAATTTAATAACAACAGATGCCATAAAAAACTATACATGAAAAAAAAATGTCAGTGGACACAACTGAACAGCAGGAGCCATTTACACCAACCCTGACATCAGCTCACTGCACACCGTGTATGTGCTGGGGCCCTGCAGAGGTTGCAGATTGCAGAGGGATTAGTAACACTGCAGGTTTCAACAACAGATTGTTATGATGATCACAGGAAAAAAATAAGGGGGCCCTGGTATCTGAAAGGATGCTTTTGATAAATGAGTCTCCCACGGGCTGGAGTTATTCTTAGTAGGCGCCTACAAGAGGCAAAGAGAAAAGGGAGTTGATCACCTGTTGCCATGTAAACCAAATTCAATTCATCCTGTACTTTCTCCAGGACATCAGATTTGGTTTCGTGATGTGAAGAGGCAGAGCAGGAGGGATGCAGCTGTGATTACACCCCTCTGACACACAAGGCTGGCACAGGATTTCGTCCTTTTAGGCTTGGCCTGCACAAGCAGCAGCACAGACAAGTGCTGTGTGAGAAGAACAATGTTCCCTTCCTCAGGGGTGCCAACAGCACAGGAAGTCACTTAATTAGTCTCTCAGGCCACTGAGCTTTTAGAACAGAAGCTTTGCCAATTAATTTTCCCTGCTCTTCAGCAACTCTGGTTGTTGGATTTTCTTTCAGTTTCCCTCATCCATCACAAGCGCCTGCTGTTTGCAGAGTAAAATCATCATTCTAATTTTTTCTTCTTCTTTTTCTTCTTCACAGCTCCTGGCAGCACTGAGTTGTCTCCATGATTGCTGTTCTGTCTCTCCTGCTGTCCATTTGCAGACACCAACTGAGGCAAATCTTTGCAGATCTGGTCACACCCTGCTGGGTCTATTCTTTTCTCTTGAATATTGTTCTCTCCCTTCATTTTCTTCTTCTTCTTCTTCTTCTTCTTCTTCTTCTTTTTTTTCTGGGTGTGCTCTACACAGCCCTGACTCTGATCCTGGCTGGAATCCTGGGGCAGTGCAGGAAAAGCACTTTGCTTCAGAATATCTGCAGCTGACACAGCAGCCTCCTGGAACCTTTCCCACTCCTGGTCACTGTCCGTGTCACTGGCAAGGGAACGAGAGGGAAGGAGGTTGTGTTACAGTTTTGCCTTGAATTCACCCCAAACTCAGCAGAGTAATCTGAGATGAGAGCATGTGATAAACACCCAGTGGCTCTGGGACTCCCACACCTACAGTTTGCATTTAACCAGATGGAAGGCCAGGGTGTTCTTTACACACACAAGGAGGGGAAAGAAAATCTCCCACAAACATTTCTAGTCCCCTCAGCACTAAAAAAAGAAACAAAATTCTGGTCTAGTCATGAATAAGAGTCATGAATCCACACTTCTCCAGCTTTTCAGCTTCCTGTTCCCTTGTGGGAGTCCCAGCTGCCTCTGAAATGTGGGATGCAACAGCCTTTGAGGAGCAAAGCAACTGCCAACACCTCACCTGGAGCTCACTGGGCGCCTTCTCCTGGCTGCAGGGCAAGGCTCTGGTTCCCCACAGTCTCCAGGGACAGAGGAAGAGAAGAGCCGAAAACCTGGAGTATGGGAAGGGGAATTTTAGGCACGATGTAAAACAGAGGTGAAAACAATCAACTGCCATCTCCCTGGAAGCCTCTCCTCTCAGTAACTGCTGTTGCTACAGTGCTTGACAGCAGTTATTGGGGACTGTGTGGGAGGACCTGGGGCACAAAGGTCACAGCTGCAAAGCAACAGCCCTCACAGGCACTAAGAAAAACCTTTTATTGCAAATGTTTATTAGCTGGGTGTACAGCTAATTAGCTGGTGATGGACAGGATCCATGCCACTTGTCATCACTGAACTAACACAGCCCCAGTGGCTGGGACTGGAACTCACCATCGTCTGCAGAGTCAGATTGTGGCACAGAGGTCTGAGAAGGTCCTGATGAGTCCTTGAAGACAGTGATGAAACTAAACAGAAAATCCCAGTCAGATCTTAGGTTTGTGCAAACTCAGCTCAAGTTGGATGTTTTTGGGAAACAAGGCTAGAGGGAGATGTTTTACACTTTTTTTCATGAGGTTGTCTCGGGTCCCTGCTTTCAGGGCAGATCAGGCTCTCTCCCCTCAGCAACACCCCACAGGAATGATTTAAAAGTAGCCTTTCTAAAGCCAGCTCTAAACACCAGGAATTCTAGTTCTCCAGGACCATATTTACACAATGAACAGCCCAGTCAGAGGCCCACTGCCAGCACAACCCTGAACTGGGCACTGCTTTGACTGTAAGAACAAATGGAACATTCCCATGCCACCCTTTAAATGACCAAAGGCTCCCAAATTCGCCTTTTTTTCCTCCCCACAGCACATTCACCACAGAAGCAAATGGCCAGAGGCAGTGCTGCACAGGATCTTTACCAGAGGGGCACAGCACATCGGCAAGGTTAGATCAGGGAACACTGGAAGCTTGCACCAAATACAGGGATGAAGGAGACAAGATGATGTTGAATTTCCTGGGTTTAGCACACAAAAGCATCAGTGTGGCTGATCCACAGAACAAACCTTTTCAGCCTTGGCCACCCATACCTGTCCAGCATCGCTCCCAGTTTCTTGGCCACGTGTGCTCTGAACTCTGGGGTTGTGTGGAGCTCGTTGTCCCCCTCCTGCCGGCCATTCACCTCCCGCCCGTTGACAACAAGAACAAGGATTATTCTCTTTCACCGCCAGAAACACCCGGTGCCCTCCCCCAAACAGGAGATAACAGACTGTAGTATGTGTAATTGCACTAATTCCTTCATGGGACACTTACAGAGCTGGGTGGTTTCTGACAGTGGAACTAAGGCTGTAAATGACAGCAGCAGTAAGTTTTCAACATCTCTATTTCCCTGCTGGTAGAGGGATGACAAATGTACTTACAAAAAAACTTAGTCTTTTTCAGATTAACCATAATTTCAGATTATGGTTGGGTTAATTCCCAAACTGTCCTTTTCACTGTCACTGTCCCTTCCAGTGACAATTATCACAAAGTATTAACTGTAAATAGCCCAAATACAACATACATTGATTTTTTCTTCAGTGAAACATAAAACCAGAAGCAAAAATACCTCAGGCTTGGTTGATCCTTGGGCTGTAACCGATCCTTCCTAGAGCCACCTGAAAAGGAAGAAGCAAAGGCACGTTTGAAAGACCTGCTCCAGGACCTCTTTAACCCTTCAGCCACATGTTACAGCATAAAGAACCGTGCCCGAAAGACAACTCTCGCCCACCTTTGGGGAGGGGAGTGGGGGGAAACAGTTATGAGGGGAAAGAGAAACTTGGCTCCGACCAGTCCTGCCGGGAAGGGGCTCCAGGCCGGGGTGAAGGCCGGGTATAGCCTGGGCAGGACCCCACCCGGCTCCCACACCGGCACCGCGGCACAGAGGAGCCCCCGGGGCTGCGGAGGGGCTCGGAGAGGAGAGGGAGAGAAGAGAGGAAGGGCAGAGCAGAACACGCGGACAGCAGAGCGCAGCTGTTCTCGGCCCCTCACCACCGCGCGGCTCCGCCCGTGGTGCCGCCACCGCCGCTTGCGCCGCACAGTCCCAGGCGGCCTCCCGGAACCGCACCGCGGCCTCGCCGCCGCCCTCCGAGTCCGAGTCTGAGCTGCTGCCGGTGTCGGGGACCGGGCCCGAGCCGCCCCTGGGCGCCGCCATGCTGCAGGCGCGCGGCATGCCGGGAGCTGTGGTCCCAGAGCGGGGCATGCCGGGAGCTGTAGTCCCACCCTGTCTCCTGCGCTCCCCCACCCAGTTCAGGATATGGCTTCTACCTCTGGGGTCTTGTTAAGTTCTTTTTAATCAGTTTTTACACCGAGATGCCAAACTTTTGTTTGAATGCAGAAGCTGTACCAAATCCTGCTCCTTTAGTGACTGGTTGAAAATGAAGAGTGCTTTGTTAGAGAGATTTTCACAGATAGCAAATATTCTGCTCCTGAGGGTAGGACTGCCTTGTGTGCTCTCCATGCCACCACCACTGCCATGTTCACACACCACATCTTCACCTCAACTAGGAATTTTTCAGTGTGATACATCAACACATTTGGCAACTCCAGGAGGGCTTCTGGGCGACCCCTTTGCCATGGGTTTTACCAGGGCTTTGTGCTGCCAAGAGCAGCAGGAAGGCTCAGTAGAGCTGTGTTTTTATACTGCTGAACACTCCTGGCTTGCACGTTCCACCCTTCACACTAGAGATGTGCAGTCTCAGCCAACGTGTGAGACAGGCCTCTGACAACATCCTTGGGCTCCTTCCAATAGTCTCCCTTGGCACTAACCCCCCTTAATTTCTTAGCTATTCCCTCATAAGGCTCACCTTCAGCTGGTTTAAGATTAAACCACCCTCCACTGTGCAAAACAAGAAGTTTTGGACTGTTTCGTACCTTGGGAGTCCTCAGGGCTGGTGAGGTGCCCTCAGAGCTGGGACACACCCTCCAGAGGTGCCTTCTCAGGCATCTCTCAGTGCTGACCCATTCCTTCAGACCCCAGGTCATCTCCTCTCCCCGCCTTTGGTCCCTCTGACCCTGGGGTTTCTCACAGCCACACAAATATCCTTACCAAGCTCTCTGTTCCCATCCTGGAGGTGCTCCTGTGCTCCAGTCCTAGTGCTCTGCTCACATCTGTTTGTTCACATCTGAACAACTTGTTTCCCTTAAAGCTCCTTCCTTCTCCTTTCCTCCCTCCCTCCCTCCGCATTCGGCACGAACTTTGTGCTCTCCCCAGAGGCCGCCGTTTGGACACCTCCCCCGGCAGCCCAACCGGGGCAGCCGCAGCGCTCGGGGCGCGGGCGGGGGCTCGGAACGGGCCGAGGTAACGCCCGTGCGCGGGGTCTGGGGGCGCCCAGGCCGGAGGGGCCGCCGGGGCAGCACCAGCGGGCCCGGGTGCGGGGGAGCCGCGGGCGGTGCGGGGCGGATCGGCCCCAGCCCCGGCCCGGCCCGGTCCCTTCCGCCGGCCGCGCTTCCGGCCCGTCAGGTGACGGCGCGGGCGGAGCGGCTGCTCGAGCGGGGCTGGGGGCCCGCACCGCCGGTGAGCAGGGCCGGGCCGGGGGCGGCGGGGGGAGCCGGGGCTGCCCTGGGGCTCCGAACGAGCGGGCGGGGGCGCGGCGGGACCCCCGGGGCCGCCCGGTGGCTCTGGGGCCGCGGCAGGCCCGATCTGTGTCCGGCCCCGGCCCGGGCCCGGCGCTGCCGGCCGGGGTTGCCCCGAAACCCCGGGCTGGGGCTCGCAGGGGGCCCGTGTTCGCTCTGCGGCCGGGCCGGACCCGCTGTCGCGACAGATGGGTCCGGCTCTGGGTACCTAGAGGGGTCTGGCTCTGGCAATGTCGCGGTCATCAGCTTCTGGTACAGGGCATTACTAATATTTCAAAAATTACTTATATGTTGAGAATCGCCTATTGCTTCTCAAACCACGTCATTGCTGCCGTATTTGGTGTTATTTTCACGTTTACTGCTAACCCGGTCAGCCCGGCACGTCCCTGTCACAGCGCTGCAGCCCAGCTCGGGCAGCATTACCCGACTGGTTATAGCAGTGCTCTTTGTTTGGTTTGGTTTTTTTTTTCTTTTTCCCTTTGGACTTTGTGAGGTAAGAGGATAAAATCTTTGTCGAAAGGTTTTTTTTTTGGGTCTATATTAAAGCTTTATGGAATGGATAAAAAGGTAATTACTTTAATCGCTTGGGGGTTTTCACTGTTTGCGTTGGTGAAGTGCCTGGAATCCTCGGGGTTCCCCAAACAGCCCCTCAGCTGGGCCCTCGCCCCGGGAGCAGGGGCTGAAACACAGACGTACATTGCAGAATCCCAATTAAAGAAACGAGGCCAAGCAAGGGCATATTGGGCTGGAAGGCAAATGGCTGGTTTTGCAAGAGCGAGTGATCACATGAGTTTTGGGACCACTTCGTCCTAATACTGAAAAGCTGGTGCCTAATGCTGTGCAGGGTAGGAGGTGAAAAGATGAACTCGGGAAATGTTCCCAAGGAGTTAAAATGTAACATGTTTGGGAGACAGAAGAGAGTAAAAAGGTATCTAGAGATAAATGAGTATTTAATGATTAACAGAAGGACAGTCATGTTTGCTAAGAATATCTAAAAATGACTGTCAAGAAGTCAGTGCACTTTCTTCTAGGCCCTGTCAGCAATTACCAGCCGAGATGACCTGGTCGTTGTACTTGAAGCCCGGGCAATTGTAACAGGTTAGGTATCAGATTTTTGTTAGGCTTTTGAGTGGGTGTATTTATACTGCTCTGAGTAGTAGTTTTAGATTGAGATAGAATGTATGATATTAATATTCCTTTTATAAAATTTGTCGCACGTGTCGGAAAGTGTCACTGTGGTGATAAGAAAAATAATCTGACACGGTGTGTTTTTTTTTTTTATTTAAAGTGTAAAAGGTTCAGGAACTAAATCCGAGCTTGTTTTGCAAACAAACTAGATTTGGATTATTTCAATTTCAGTAATCCTAGATAAAGTAAGATTTTTTTTTTTGTATGCTTTAACTTGTAGTGGAAACTCTGCCAGGCTGGCTTGAAGTGTTCCTCCTGTGTTTTTCGGGTTGGGTCAGTGTACCTTGGCAAATGCAGTCATTCTCATTTGCTGAGTTCAGAGAGGTGACCTGTGACAGCAGCCTTCAGCTCCCGTGTTCCTGCTGTGCAGTTGCCCCCAGTAGATTTACAGATTTAGTTTTTAAAGTGTCTGAGTAAAAGGTCTTTCTTGCTGCCAGTTGGTGAGACCTGTACCCAGTGCTTACACAATACATCGAAACACTCAACCAGACCTTCCCCTGCACTTACCCCCAGCGTGGACCTCCTGAGCTCCCGCTTGTCCCAGTGTCCCACGTGCCTCTTGGAGGAACAGTTTCATCATCTCATGTACCTTCACCTCCCTGTCTTCTTCAGGGAGCTGACTTGCAGTCGAGTTCCTTGTTTCTTAACGGTTAATCTGCTTGATTCTAGGGTGTAGTGAATGTCGGAACAGCCTGTTGGGATATCATAGGGGTCATGATTTAAAGGAATTAAATAGCTAATATAGGTGGCTTTTAAGTAACAAAGATGCTGTTTTCCTGTCAATACCTAACGAGCAAAGAAGTAAAAAGGAAAAAAGGCAAGATCTTTGAATGTCCTTAGTTAGATATCAGCTGATTTTTATATCCTTTCACTTGTTTGCTCAAGATGCCTCCAGGCTTGATTTGGAGACCAGGGTTTGGCAAACCTCCACTGGCATCTCTAAATTCTGTTTACTTAACCCCAAAAGTTATCTTCTATCCCAGTGTACTCACAGTCTTCCTTCTGAACTCTAAATCAAAATGAGAATGGGGTTGGTTTGGCCTATTGTCTTGGTTGTTGGGTTTTTTAGTCTGTGGTTTGCTTATGGTTTGTTGGTTTGGGGTTTTTTTTCCCTAAAGAGTTTTGTCTCAGAGTTGAGTAGTTCAAGTGACAGTTCAACAATTTGGAGCTCGTTCTGCAGTCAGAGGAGGTGAATTTGCAGTTGAACATTGACTTCAGGATCCTCAGAGTACACTCACAAGTGACACAATATATGATTAACAGATGTAAATGAGCCATTGGATACTGTTTCACGTTTCTTCTTTACACACTTGCGGCAGAACTGGAGGATGAACAGACCCTTAGCAGCACTTGTTCCAGACCTGGGTGTGTGAAATGATATCCCAGGGACAAGAGCAAATGTGCGAGAAGGCTTCTCAGGAGGAGACTGATTATTTTTACTGGTTTGTTTTGATATATTTTTGATATTTTAAATTGGTCACTGGACCCAATCAGCCAGTGGACAAATAATTAGGAGGGGATCCCCAGAACAGACTTAGGAATGACCCTCTTCTGGGACAGTACCTCTTGTGTTTTATCATTTTGATCTTTCTTCTGTCTCAGCCATTTTGTTTCATTTCGTACTGGTATTTCAGTGAGTTAATGATTTATTAATTTTTCATAGTTACTAAAAGCTAAGGGTTTTTTCAGTAGGTGCTAGTGAAGATACAGATTTTATCTTTTTGATGAGTTTCCAGATTTGTGGTGTTACATTTAATGGAATTTAATTTGTAGAAAATTACCTTTTCTTCCACATTGGTTGAAGGAACCCAGAAATTAATTTATTTGCCTCTTCTACATCCTTTCCTTGTGTTATATGTCAAGATATAAGAGCCAGACATTTCCTGTGCCCATTCCATAAAGTGATGCTGTGTTTTTTACAGTGTGTTCAACTCTTTAGTTTTAAGGAGGTTTTCTCAGTTTTGATATTTAGATATATAGGTCCAGGTTGGTGAGTTTTCACTTAAACCACTCAGCAAGACAGGCTGAAGATTCTGGTAGTAAGGAAGTGTGAAAAATCCAAGTGTCTTTAGCATGCAGTTTGTGGGCTGGCAGCATTCCCATCTGCCTTGAACCACCAGGAATTTGAATTCTGTGCAATGCTCTGAGTGTAAATGAAGTCACGGTGTGAAAGGCTGAGAGTCAGCACTGCCGAGAGCAGCGTATGGTGAAGCGCAGCATCTGTGAACACAAAGCTGCCCTTCTGGGACACTGTGCAAAGTGATGTAACCGAGTGAAAAAGCTCTGCAGGAACACGTTCCACCTGCTGGAACGGAGAGTTTCTGCTGCAATACCTCACCAGGCTTGAGTGTGAGGCTTCCTTGGCCGCGCGGTGGGATTGTGTGGGATGGAAAAAGCTGCTGGCAGCGACAGCCAGAGATCCTGAGGGTTTGTCTTGCTGCCCTGCTCCTGTGCTGCAGCTCTGCTACAGAGAGGGGACAGCCAGGGAAGCCTTTAATGCCTGTGGGGTGAGTTTGCAAAAAACTTCTTCTGAAAAATTCAGGTTGCCCTTTGAAAGTGCTTTGCTGTTTGTACACTTGCAGAAAAGGTCAGATAATCACCTGCTTCCTTCTCATAACCTTCACTAAGTAGTCCTGTTCCTGCAGCAGCAACGTAATGTCAGAGTTTCGTGGAAAGCACAGTGGAATATTTTTAACCTTTTTTTTTTTTCAGTGAATTAATATTTGTAACTAGTGAAACTCTCTAGTTCTTAGATTAAAAATATTACACTGCTAAGAGTGTTTGTTTCTGGAAACGTAAATGCCTTGTGCTAGGTCTCAAAGATTTAGGTACTGTGGAATTTACATATCAAGGAATGAGACTGTGGAGGTTGTTGCTACTGAAATACAGTAAATGGTGTTCTCTGATAAATATGATGATGTTAATGACTAGTATTATCATTAATATTCCAAACTAATGAGCAATGAACTTCAAACTCTGCATTGTCCATCTGTCCAAACTGAGAATGGCTTCATGATTAAATCCCATTTCAGACTGCACCTGCAGTTCTAACTTGTGTTGAATTTTGGAAGACTAGGTGAGCTTATTCCTCTTACAGCAAATGGCATTTTTGAGAAAACACAAGGGGTTTGTTTTGGCTGTGGATCTCAGTTGCTTATCAGCAGCAGTGAAATACAGGTCACACACCAGCCAGGTCATACTACAGGACTGTAAAGTAGCTTAGTTTCTAAAAAAAGATCCCTCTTGGCTATGTTAAACTAAAACCATCAACAACAGGATTCAAGAGCTTCTTAGATAAATCACTACCAGGACCAGAATGCCACGTTATAATGCCAAGAAATTGGGTTTGTTTGGTTTTTTTCTCTTTCTCTCTGCTAGGATTCCATCAGGAAGATTTCCTTGACCTCGTGTCTGGGTAGTTCTTGAGGATGGCAAGCAAAGGATCCACAGCTTCTGCATCAACCAAGAGCTCCAGCACTGGAGGGACCAGTGGCAGCAGCAGTAACGGTCCTGGGGACAACACTAATCAGGACAACACCTTTGAATGTAACATCTGCTTGGACACTGCCAAGGATGCAGTGATCAGCTTGTGTGGGCACCTCTTCTGGTAAGTGCTCCCACCCCCACAGCTCAGCCAGAACACCACCCAGCTGATCCCATAGAATCCCGTGCTTTTGGTGATTTCAGATGTCACATGTCCTGTAAAAAATGAGTAAGGACCATGGGTTTGGTTTAGGAGAAGCTTCTCAGCTGTTGCTCTTTGCTCATGGTCCAGGAGTGGGTTTCTTGCATGTTAAACTTCCTGTCCTTCTGGCCATTCCTGTAGGAGTTGGGCTCGATGAGCCTCGTGGGTCCTTCCCAACTCAGAATATTGTGATTGTTGTGTAAAAGCAAACAAGCAGCCCCACACAGACAGTTCAGTGCTCGCTGACACTGCTGGCTGTCGTGTGTTATTTTATTTGTGCTGTCTGGCCTAGCACAGACACCTTCTTTAGACCTTTCTAACCTGTGCAGACCTAACCCTGCCTTTGAATCCAGGTTAGGGAGGCTTGATTGGAGCTCTTCCCACAGGTTTGCTCTTTTTTCCTTTGAAACCATAAAAAAGAAAAATAAAAAAAAAAGGAAATGAGCTTTTCCATGTGGGGTATTTCTCTTTTTCCACGGTATTGTTGTTGTAAAAGGAACTTTTCAGTTCTTTGATCTGACATGGAAATAATGGACAGCCCGGATATAATACACATGCAGCATTTCTAATTTGGGTAACGTGGTTTGAAGAGACTCTTTCTTGAATGTTAGGAAGTTATTAAGGATTGACATGGCCAAATGTGGGGGTTTAGGGGATTATTTTACACAGTAGGCTAAAGCTTTAATAAAAAGAGGCCTAAAAGAGCATTTCTTTTCTGTGTAAATGTACATAACATCTGAAAATCCAGATTTTTATTTGAGGAGGTGGAAAATCACTGGCTGATGGCTTGTTGAGATAAAATTAGATTGAATTATTGCACAAAGGGATCTGGAAGAATGGAACCTTAAAAATAGCATGTGTCTTGTCTGAATAGGGTTGTCGTGACCATTTTGAGAGCAGATGGCTGCTTGCAGTTTTGTCTTGTAGCCTTGTTTTCTTTGACCTTTTTTTAATTTGCCATATTAATTTAATCTGTATAATGAGAATTTTTCTGCCATGAGCAACTGGGTCTGATCTCAACAGCTGACCCTGCTCTGAGCATCAGGTTGGACGACAGGCTACCTGAGGTACCGTCCAGCCTGAGTTATTCCATGATCCTGTGAATGTGGCTGATGTTTCAGCTAAATCTTTGGACATCCTAAAGGCTCATTACTGACATCTTGCTCATTTGCATCTTAGCTCAGAGGTATCTTTTCAAGGTGTCAGAGTAGACGGTTTGCACAGAGAACCCCAAGGTTAGTGCAGCCTCTGTGTGGGCCTTTGGTGTGGAAGAGGCCGAGGAAGCGAAGGGGATATGCACAGAACCACCTTTGCAACTTAGATTGTGTAACCTGAAAGAACCAGTGGAGATCAGTCTTGGGCTGTGCTTTCCAAAATGACTGTAATGGGAGGTTACAGAACTGGCCCAGCTGGATTCCAGGGTTCTGCTGTGGCCAGGCCGTGCTATCCGTGTACATTTGTCGGGTCGAGTTGTCAGTAACTAATTCTATTTTCCCCCTTTTTCTGCTCTGCGAACAAATTGTCCTGGGAATGCTCACAGTTGGCCTTGTTTACACCAGGTAAGACAGGTTTCCTTTTGCTTTGTCTTTCATCAGCTCCTGTTGCTCAATAAAGCCCTTGGTTCTCTGGAGTATCCCCCTCTTTTTAAATGTGCTTTTCTCTCCAGGGCAATCACAACCTGCTAATGCAACTGCTTGTGCAACACCTTGCAAGCTGCTCATTCAGCAACAAGAAAGTTTAATTCTGTTCCACCTGAGTATTTCCAGTTTTGGTAGAATTACTGTAGGGGGTTCCTTTGCAGGTTTAAGTGCTGGGTGTACTTCTCTCTGCATCTGTAATGTTTTACACTGTGGTACCATTATGGAAAAGCTGGGTGAAAGGAGGGTGTCTGCACTAGCCCTGAGCCTATGCAGGACTCTTGGCACTGTTTATGTCTTCATATTTTACTCCAGGGCAGATCTGAATGTGTGCACATCAGCAAGTGGATCATACCAGAACAGCAGCCAAAGTGCCAGCTCCACTTTGGAGAGTACCTGGCACTTAGTAAAATGGTTTGCTCTGGGGCTTTCTGAGGAATTGCTAAAGCCTCTCTGCCTGGCTGCAAATGAGGTTTGCATATTGTTGTTTCATGGTCTTTACTAGTTTCCTTATCATGTCCTTTCTTTTAGTGGTTAGAGACCAGGCCAAACAGACAAGTGTGTCCTGTGTGCAAAGCAGGAATCAGTCGAGATAAAGTTATTCCTCTCTATGGAAGAGGCAGCACCGGGCAGCAGGACCCCAGGTAAGAAACCTAAATACAACTATTTTTGTTTGAAAACTAAAGATGAAACTGTAGTTTACTGTCTTAAGATTAAACTGTCAAGGTTCTGGATTCATAATTTATACTGCTTTGTCAAAGGATAGATAGAACTGATGTTTCTGACAAATATTTCTGGCTCTTTCAGGGCCTGGGTTTGTACACCTTATTTCATGTTCAACTGGCAATTCATTTGAATTTTAATTGGGTGTTAATTAGCAGTCACCCGTGGCAGGTTGCAATGATTGTTATCTGGCTGGAAAAGCTCTTCTAAAATGTTCCTGCCCTGAGTTTTTAGCCTTTGCCATGGGACTCCTGTTAATCAGAAGTGCAGCATCGATTCGGGATGTGCTGCTGAAGGTCCAGGAGCTGCAGGGTTGGCTCCCTCACACGCTGCTCCAGCTCTGCTGCAGCCTGGCCCCCTGGGACCGACTCTGGGGTTGTTCTGCCTCATTAGCCAGGCTATTGCAGGCACTGCTGTCGTGTGTCCTTGCACTTGGGCTAATTTCACAACTTCCTGCAGAGAGAAAACTCCACCACGACCCCAAGGACAGAGACCTGAACCAGAGAACAGAGGGGTAAGTGAAGAAACAAGCTCGGGCTGATAAGTTGTTTCTGTTGATGGTGGTATTTATTCCTCCTGGAGGACATAGTGTGTGCTTGAGATGCCGTGTGAGGATCCTACAGCTTACACACCTTGCTCATTCCCCAGCTGGCTGGTCATTGATAGCTGTGATGTGGTAGAGAACTCCATTCCTACAGTACTCTTTAGCATCCCAAAGAACAGGATAACTTGGATTGTGCTTCGTGAAAACGACCCAGTGTTGTATCACTGGAAATGCTCTTCACGCTTGATTGTTCTCCATGTAAATACAAGGAACACTTTGCTTTGAAAATGCTTTGTGGAAATGTGTTTCCATCAAAATATATCTATCATGAAAATACATAATTTATGTATGAACTTGGATTTTTGGCACTGAGACCTGCTCCTATAATTTCTGTGGGATGTTACTGCACCATGGCATTCCAAGCAAAAGAAAGCAGGTATCTGTTGGATACATGTTCATTTGGAGAGGGATCTCTGGTTTTGTTGAGGAGATGACACGGAGTGCATGTAAACAGCAGCTGGCACAGCCTGAGCAGACGTGGGAGAAGGCAGTAGGACAGTTCCTCAGCAGGACCTGATGAAACAAGGGCACATTTCCGTGTAACACGGCCTGGGATCCTCAGAGAGGATTTATCTGCCTGGTGCTGCAGGCAAACAACTCTGCTGGGTGTGATTAGGGCACATTTCTGTGTTGAATGTGTGGGGAGCTCAGCTGTTCTCTTTCGCAGGGGAGTTGCTGCCTTATTAAATCAGCTCCTGCACCTCGTGTGAACCTTTGAGCTGCTGCTGTGGAAGTCAGAGGGGTCTGGTACAAAGACCAGTAGTGATGCTGCCCTCCTGCTCCCTACAAGCCCTGTACCTGAACAGAGAGAGCTTTGCTGTCCCTCGTAGTTTATGGCAAAGTCACTGAGAAGAGTCACAGTCAAAAGACCAACTCCTCAAATCAAGGCTCAACCCAGATATGTTTGGCTTTAATATATGAGAGAAATCACCTTTGTCCTTTTACTGCTGGAAGGTGACAGATCCCAGAGGGTCTTTCAGAACTGATATCACTGTGTCAGTTCTGAGATGAGAGGGCAGGTTGCTGGATTCACAAGTGTGGGCTCTCAGTAGTTTTAAACATGACACCACTCCCTAGACCCACACAGAGCTGGTTCTCCAATAGCACGGGGCTTGTGCACGGCGGGATCCATCTCCATTCACAAGACTTGTCTTTTGACTTGATGTGGTGTTTTAGTCTGGATCCCATGGGGTCAGTGTTGCATTGTAACTCTTCCTTTTTTCCTCCTTTCTTTATGTCTTGCATTCCTGCCCCAGGTGACTTTATCTGACACCTTAATTAGAGTCCCCCTGGTAAATTTTTTTTTGTACTATTCCTTATAATGCTCTTTGCATCCCACTGGCAGTTTATCACTTCACTGAGTGTTTGAATGACTCACATGTATCACAAAAACCAGTGGAGATTATTAATTTCAAATGCCTTTCTTATTGTTATGTAGCTAATAGCTATTAACACACAATATATTGTTTAGATATTCTGAATAGGATTGGTAATGTTGATTTTGATGCATTGGCAGATGTCTACTACTTTGAGAAATGTTACAGATACACTTTTGTTAACTTGGGGCTTTCAAGCAAGAACTGTGGTTCCTAGTGCTCATTTTCTCAAAGTTTTGGGTTGCTCTGAAAAGTTTGCTACTGTGTAAAACACTTTAAACCCAAGAGAAGTAGGAGATATTTACAATAGTGTGTCAGACTGAAAGTTGCCAGACAGCATGGCCTTCCTTCAGGTGTGGGACAGCCAGGGAGAGGGAATGTCTGCGCTTCTACACAGTGTTCTGAAATAGGCTTTAAATGATTCATACCTTTTTTGTCTCCTGCTGCTTTTTTCTCTGCAGGGATTCCAGGGCTTTGGCTTTGGTGATGGTGGCTTCCAGATGTCCTTTGGAATTGGGGCGTTTCCCTTTGGTATATTTGCAACAGCCTTCAACATAAACGACGGGCGACCTCCTCCAGGTACCAGAATCCACCTCCTCCAAGGGTCCTGTCAAAACATGTTTTAGACTCCCTTGTAACTCTTAAACAATAACCTGCTAAATGACAGAACGCTGTCAGCAATAACCAGTGCTGTGAATAGAAACACAAAGGGAGGGCAAACGCCCAGCACAGGGCGTGGTTTGTGGCTGACACGGTTTGTACACGGGCTCATAAAGAAGCAAGTTTGTCCCTTCCATCTAATTCAAAGGCCCTCCTGGGAGAACAGTGGCACTGCAGAGGGGCAGTGGCACTGGAGACTTCTCCCTTTGAATTTACATCTCTCCTCTGGTACTCCAGCAGACTCCCTCTGAAAAATGAGACAAATTGGAGTAGAGTTTCTAATAATAAAAAGGAGTCACTAGGGGTGTATGAAGGAGACCCAGATTTTGAAAACAGCAGGAGAGGACCATTTCCTGAAAGATGAGAAGGAAAAATTTAAATATGTTCTGTACCATGAAATAATGAATGCAGAGATTGTTCCTGTTTCAGAAATTTATCTCTGAGACAGTCATCTCTATTCCACAAGAAGTAACTTTCCAGTGAAATTATTTCACTGTTTTTAATTAACAAAAAAAAGTTGGGTTACTCCAAGTGGTGACCTTGCTCTCCAAAAATTAAGTAATCCCTAGAAAACCTCTTCCCCATCTGCACTGGAGACAAGTTGAGTCTGTCTGTTTTGAACAAGAAAAGTTTACTGCCCGGGATTTTCAGGACTTCCCCTGTGAAGGGTTGTCCTGGCAAATCTTCCAGCACGTCATATGGCACAGGAATTATGAGGAGCAAACTCATTCTTCGTGTCACAGCTATATTGCCATGGTCCTGTGCTGTCCTTGGGTCCAATTACCTTCCCTATTAACCATAGTTCAGTGTCCCCTAAAAATCTGTGTGTGGGGTGACTGAGCCAGGAGTGTGTAAATACGTGCTGTTGTAACAGCCATAATTTAACCAACTGCCTTATCTGTTTTTCCTGGGTGGATTCAATGCTGCAGTTCCAGAAAGGCACAGCTTGAGTTTTAGAGCTCATGTGCTTTTCGTTAGTTCTCTTGGGCAAGGCTGCACAGGCAGCTCTGACCCTTTTGCTATTTCCTTGTTCAGAGGTTTCACCTTCTGGGGAGGAACAGAGGCAGCTCAGGTGGAGGTAGTGAAGTTCCTTGGGAACAGTGAACTTGGCTCAGCACTGCCTACTGTGTTCAGAATATGCACGATCCTGGAGAAGAGGAAGGAGCTGAACTGTTTTTTGTTTCTTTTTTTTTTTCACTTCCTGTTTTCCAGCTGTTCCAGGGACTCCTCAATATGTGGATGAGCAGTTCCTTTCCCGCCTCTTCCTGTTTGTGGCACTGATGATAATGTTCTGGCTGTTGATTGCATAAATCTTTTCCATTATTCTATATATTCATGACCAACACGGCCACTGAAACAGTTACAAACTGCATCCCCATCCCACTTTAAACCTCTTGGTCTGGTTCCGTAGCTAACTATGGGCTTCAGGAATTGGTGGTACCACAGCACAATGAGGAATCTCGCATTTTGCACCGGAGTTGGAAATTAAACATTGGTTAAAAAGCGTATTTCAGCTCAGCTATCTTGTACGACAGGTTCCTGCAACAAACCACGGGCCTGGTGTTGAGCTGTGCTCCCAGAGGGAGTGCTGCTCTGAAATCCTGTGCCAATCAGTGACACCAGGTCTGTGGGACAGACAGGGACCCCCAGGTAGACTGGGCAGGTCAGGAAACTTCTCCAGCGTGACCAGTATCTCATGCTTTGCAACCACAGTGGATCTGCCAGAGCTGCAGATGTTATTTAATGTCTCCATCAACATCCAGCCTTCTCCAGGAAATCACCTGCAGCACTGCTGACACTCTTTGGGCACAGCACGTGGTGCAAATGGAACCGGGTCCGGAGACTGGTTCCTTTTCCTGCTGTTGTTTCCCGGCGTGACGGAAACCCCTTCCTGACGTGGTTCTGCCTGGAAGAAGGGATACAAATTTATGCTGCAATTTTTTAAAGCCTGAACATGCTGGAGCCAGACACTGGAAGATTCTCTGGCTGTGGAGCCGGGTGGGGCTGGACACAGGCGCTGCCTCACCCAGCCCAGCTCCTCAGTGACCAGCAGTGTTGTCTCCCCTGGCTCTGCACAGCCCCGGGGCTGCACTGGTGGATAATCCCCTCACCCTCACAGCCTCGTCACGGTAGCGACAGTTATCCCCTGCCAAGGCTTGGAGACTTTCTACGCGAGGTCATGTACTCCAAATAAAATCCTATTACAGATCCCAGATCAGCTCGTTTGGGGAGAGGAACAAAAGGCATCTTGACGTGAGGTTTGAGGTTAAAGCTGTCATACTGTAAAATTGCACAGGAGGAAAAGTGAGACCCTGCCTTTGCCAGCACGTGCACGGTAGGGGACCCTTGGAAGGCCTTCTCTCTGCAGGTGCACACACAGCTTCTCCGAGCCACAGCAGCACGGCTGCAGCACAAGAGTCTCTGCAGAATCTACCAAAGAGCTTAATTTGAAGTGCTGGAGGAGACCACAACCATTAATGTGCTGAGGGGATATTTCAGAAGGTGAGCACTCTGTAGCCGTTTTGGAATCCTGCTGGGTATTCAGCTTTAAAGAGTACTCCTGATGTATTTGTGTAGATTCCTTCAGGACAGCAGATACGAGAGATTCCCTAGCAAGATGAACAGTTTTCATATTTCTCTGACTAGGCAATTCCATTTTTTTTTTCTCTTATTGTTTTTAGATTGTTTTGATTCAGGTCGCTGATAGTCTCATTAATTTCCTGCAAGATGAATATTGTGACTTCTCTGGCAATAGACAGAAAACTGACAAAACAAATCAACAAATAGGAACTTTGTTTCAATAGCTTGGGGGTTTTCTAGTGTATATGGAAGAGGTTCCTGGGCAGGACACCTTAATTGTTGTAGAAGCTTATTTATGTGATTATAAACTGTTCACTTTTAGTGTCAAGACAGAGGATGACTGACGTTTAACTTGCCTACCTCCAAAACTCTATCTGGCAAGTAGAATGTTGCAAAGCTTCTGCAGTGTTTTGCCACATGTGGTCAAATTTATACCTGACTGGGTGATAATCTGGCACAGTGTATTGCTCAACTATTTATAGTTGAAGTGGTGCTTCAGCTTTTGTTGTGTGGCGCTTTTGGGAAGCTGAACTTCTGCACAGGGTTCTTCTCAAGTGCATACTGTGTAACTGGGGCCCTTTCCAGGAGAAAGGCTGTTTGTGTGGCTGTCCTGCAATGTCGCAGCTCCGGGCTCCTCTCCTGCTCAGCCAGCACCACCTGCTGATGGGAAGGGATGGATTCCTTCTCTTTTTTGTGTGGAGAAACTCGCTGCTGGGAGCACAGGTCGTCCAGGGAGGAGCAGGGCATCCCTTGGAAGCCTTTTTCCAATAAAGAGGACAGAGAACTGACTGCAATAGGTTCAAGAGGTATTGAAACATATTTAACTAACACTTATGTTTTAAAAGACGGAATTTTAATGCATTGAGGGGGGTTCCATCTATGGGTGAGAGATATAATGGATTTAGAGGAGAGTGCAGAAACATGATCGAGAGCTCTTATTTTCGGGCAATTCCAGGATGAAATAGTCTAAAAGTGTTAACGCTTGGTTTCCCCCTTTCCCCGGTGTGCTTTTGTATGTACCCCTGTCCCGCACCCGCCCGCACACGGCCCGGACGGCTCGGTTAGTGCGTTACCGTTCCTCCTTCTCCTCCTCCTCCTCCTTCTCACTAATTTTCACTGTTGTGAAAGTGATTTAGAATTAAAAAACAAATGGTTTTACATTGACCGGAGTGTTCCGCCGTTCCTCCGCGGGCCGGGAGCGCCGGGGACGCGCCTCCCTCAGGGGGCCGGGGGGGGCGGGGCCTGCGAGCGCCGCGCCCGCCACGGCACGTGCGGGGCGGGGCCGCGGGACGGCCCGCGCTGTTATTGGCCGGCGGCGCGGAAGGGGCGGGGCAGGCGGGGCGGGGCAGCGCGAGGATTGGCGGGCGCGGCGGGCGGGCGGTGCGGATTGGCCCGCGGGGAGGAGGAGGGCGGGGCGCGGCGCTGCGGGGCCGCGGGAGGCGGGTCCAGGTGCGGCGGGACCCGCTGGCGACGGGCGGAGCGGGCGGCGGGCGCGGGATGGAGGCGCTGCCAGGTGAGCTCGGGCCGGGCCGGGCCGGGCCGGGCCGCGCCCCCGCGGGAGGGGCCGCCCTCCGCCCCCGCGGGAACCGGGGCGCGGGCGCGAGGCCGTGGCTCCCCCCGGCCCGTTATGTGGGCGCCGGTGGGTCGGCAGTGCCGTGGGGCCGCCGTCTCCGGATCCCGTGCCCTGACCGGTTGTCAGCTCGTGTCCGGGGAGCGGGGTGCAGCCGGCCCGTAGTTCCCTCCGCCGGTCCGCGGCTCCCCGCGCAGTGCAGGAGGCTCCCGGGGGTCCCGTTGCGGCGAACCCCGCGGGGAGGCGATGGAGGTGCGGCCGCAGCCCGCACGGGGTCCCGCAGCGCGGGTGCCGCCGGCCCCGCTGCCCCCGGCCCCGCTGCCCCCGGCCCGTGTTCCACTCGGGGTCTCGCGGTGCCCCCGGGACTCGGCCGGTGCCCCCCGGGGCCGCTCCTCGCTTGCCGCCCCTCAAACATTCCTGCCGTCCTGGGGGACCCGGCAGGACCTGCTACATTGATTATGTCCGTTTGCTTTTCCTTCGCGCCGTTTCCTGCTCTGTTTTGTTCATTTCCGTCGTTTCTCCTGGATCCTGAACAGTTTCGGTCGGATTTAGGACTGTTCGTTTCCGTTCTGAGCTAATCAGCCTTCCCGGGGACGCTCGAACAGATGTATAACCGCAGCAGAGTCAGGCGGCTGCTGCCGGGGCTTGGGCGCTTGTGGGTCGTGTCTTGTATGATGGTTGTGGAAGAACCTGTTGCTTTTGATCAGCTGTGGCGCAGTCCTTGGTCTTTATCTGGATTTAACGGGATCCACTGACCACACTGACACGCGTTCCTTGTGCTGGTGGCACTGAACGGC